CCGGCCCCCGGCGGGGGGGGCCGTGGCTGGGCCAGCCAATCGGGCTGCCAGGGCCGCACTGCCCCGCAGCGAGGATGGAGGATGCAGTGTGGGTATGCAGCGTGCCGGATGCCTGCGCACACTCCTGTGCACACCCGTGTTCACCAGACCCGGCAGCCCCTCAGGTCCCCCAGGCAACACCGGGAGCTCCCAACGTGTCAGTGCTTCTGGAGCCGGCGATGTCTCTGCTCTGTCCTGCCAGCCGCAGCCGGCCGGTCCCGGGGGACCTGGGGAGCCCGCAGAACCGCCCCTTGCTCCTCCTCTCCTCCTCCCTGCTCCTGATATACCCTCCTCTCTCCGTCCCCTCTGAGCATCCCTCTGCTCCTCTCTCACTGCTGCTCGCCTCTCGCTCCTTTTCCCTTCTCCGTTTCTCTTCTCTGAACTTGCCCCTTCCTCCTTCCCTGCTCTCCCCCAGCCCCTCTCACCCACACCCCGGGGAACCGACCCACCATCGAAGACCCCCAGGCTGTGGCAAGGCAGGGGCCAGAACACCCACACCGGAGCTGGGACCTCCACGCCGGACAATGCCTCTCCAGATATTCTGCACCATCTCCTTCTCCAGCGAGGAAGGACCAAGAGATGCTGCAGCCACCAGGAGGGGAGAGGATGGAGCAGACGAGTTCCTGTACGGGCAGGAGGAGGATGAAGAGGAGGAGGAGGACACGGGGGTAGCCACGGACTTCGTGGCCTTTGCCAGCAGCTGCACGCTGCACGGGCTGAGCCACATCTTCGTGGAAGGCAGCCTGGGCGCCCGGCAGGCGCTCTGGGCACTGGCCTTCCTCCTCTCCCTCTCCGTCTTCCTCTACCAGGTGGCCGACCGCATCGTCTACTACCTGGAGTACCACCACGTCACGCTGCTCAGCGAGGAGGACAGCCCCGAGATGACCTTCCCCGCCGTCACCTTCTGCAACATCAACCGTGTGCGGGTCTCCCAGCTGAGCCACGAGGACCTGCTCTACCTGGCCCCCCTGGTCGATTACGAGCCTGGCATGGAGCTGGGCTTTGCCCCAGCTCAGCCCAACCTCGGGGATGAGGACGAGCCCCTAAATTTGTATGGGTTTTTTAATCGCACTTGCCACCAGCTGGAGGACATGCTGCTGAGCTGCAGCTACCAGGGCAAGCAGTGTGGCCCCGGTGACTTCGCGGCGGTGAGTAGCCCCAAGACAGCCGGGCACGGGGAGCAGCTCCAGCTGGCATCGTGTCGGATCAGGCACGGTGGGTGACACCATCCTTGCCAGCTCACTTGGGGACAGGCTGATATTTCATCCCTGTCCGCCGCCTCCTGGGCGTCTCACTGGAGTTGGGGACGGCACCGGCTGTGGACACCCGCTGGCAGGACACGGAGAGTTGCCCCAGGGCTGTGCTTGCAGAGGAGGTGCCTGGCACCTCCAACCCAGCATCACCACTGCCCCTGGGGCACCATGCGCTCTGCAGCCCACTGATCCCACATGCCCCTTACCCGGGCTGGCAGCAGCTCAGCGGCGTGGGGACATGCCGGCTGCCAGACCTGGAACGGCTGAGGAGGGACGGCGGAGTTCAGGATCCTGTCCAGCCTCCTCCTCTGCAGGGACAGAGAAGGGTTTGGTGGAGGCACTGGTGCAGACACAGGGCTGAGTGCCGCCATCTCTGGGGCTGCCGTGGGGTCTGTGGGGTTGAGGTGCTGTAAATCTGCAAAGTGTCTCCTCTGAGTCCATGCCATCCCTGCGCCTTGGTGGGCAATGTCTCCTCCTCTACCATGGCAAAGACGGGCAGTTCCAACAGTGAGAGACACCCCGTAGGGCAGGAGCCTGGGTGGGATGGTACCCCCAGGCTGCGGACGGCTGTGTTTGGGGCTGGTGATGCCCTCCCTGCTCCACTCCGTGGTGCCAGCAGCAGTTTGGTGCCGGCAGAGGGGTCCCAGCCTCAGCACCGTGTCTTCTCCTGCAGGTCTTCACCCGCTATGGGAAGTGCTACACCTTCAACGCGGGGCAGGACGGGAAGCCCCGGCTCATCACCATGAAGGGGGGCACCGGCAACGGCCTGGAGATCATGCTGGACA